ACTCAGGGTGGGGGTGAGGTCGGCTCATGGACCTCTGTCCATCCCGGGCAGGCGTGGGGTCAGGGAAGGGCATTCGCCCCGTCAGCAGTGCCCTGGGGTCCCTGACTGCCCACCTCCCCCCAGGCGGGCTGCATGCTCTTCCCCCACATCTCCCCCTGCGAGGTGCGCGTGCTCATGCTCCTGTACTCGTCCAAGAAGAAGATCTTCATGGGCCTCATCCCCTACGACCAGAGCGGCTTCGTCAACGCCATCCGGCAGGTCATCACCACCCGCAAGCAGGTGTGCCCAGTGCCTCATGCCAGTGAGACTGAAGGGCGGGAGGGACGACAGGGGGGGGAAGGCGGGGGCAGGCCAGGGCACGCTGGTCATGGAGGGTGGTGTGAGGCTGGGAGGCCCTGCAGGGTGACCAGGCGTCTTACCAATGTGTCCCCTTCTCCCGTGTCCCCGGTTGTGGAACATTTTGTAGCTGCCGGTTCTTACAGGCAAACCCTGTGGGCTTTGTGCCCCCGGCTGAGGGTTGGCACTTGTCCTGGGCCCGTGGGAGCCACGGGAGGTCTGAGAGCAGGCGAGGAGCAGGCCCGGCTCCAGGAGTGTCTGGGGCTGTGGACAGACTGGAGGCTGAGAAGCCCTGGCTGGTCTGTGGGGGGAGGCGGTGGGCGGGCTGGGCCCAGAGGACAGGCAGGGAGGGGAGGTTGGGGGGCTGAGGCACCAGCCCATACCCCACCCCGTCTCCTGTAGGCAGTGGGACCCGGTGGGGTCGCGGGCCCAGTGCAGATTGTCAACAACAAGTTCCTGGCGTGGAGCGGGGTCATGGAGTGGCAGGAGGTGAGCCTGGGACGGCCCGGCCGCTTGGGGACCCGGGCACCTCCCCGACTCAGGACCCCTCCCACTCCTGATGCCACCCCCTTCCTGTCCCCCAAAGCCCAGGCCTGAGCCCAACAGTCGGTCCAAGAGGTGGCTGCCGTCGCACGTCTACGTGAACCAGGGCGAGATCCTGTGAGTGTGGGGCTTTTTTTCTACTCTCCTATATATATAATAAAAGAGATGTTTAATATCAATGTCATTATGTTTGTTAGAGAGATTTCATTTAATGCCCTGGCCAGTGTGGCTCAGTTGGTTGGAGCATCATCCCATCCATTGAAAGGTGGCGGGTTCGAATCCCAGTAAGGGCTCATACCAGGGTTTCAGTTTTAATCTTCCAGGCCTATGTGGGAGGCAAACAACTGATATTTCTCTCTCAGATTGATATTTTCTGTGTGTGTGGGTGTGTGTGTGTGTGTGTGTCTCTCCCTCTCCTTAAAATCAATGAAAAACATATGCTTGTGGTGCCGCTGTTCCGGAACTCCCGCCTGGTGCAGTTCCACTTCACCAAGGACCTGGAGACGCTGAAGAGCCTGTGCCGGATCATGGACAACGGCTTTGTGAGTGGGCGGCTGGGCGGGAGGGCCCGCAGGACAGTCAGGTGCACAGGGCGTCTCGGGGACGACAGGTGAACCGAGGGGCTGTCTGCAGAGCCGCTGGGGAGGCAGCAGCCCACAGCGATGTCGCGTTTGCTGTGAGCCACGCACGGGCTCCTGGTCCACGCGCCTACCGAGGCTGTGCTGTCCTGACCCGTTTTACGGACGAGGAACCTGCTTCCCCAGGTGCTGGGCAGGGGTGCTGGCCTGTCCCCTCTGCTGTGTTTGGTTTACTTGGCGCTGGCGTGACCTCACGGAGCACCTGTGCTCCCAGGGCCTCGCTGCCCCTTCCTCCTGCTCTCCCCGGGCGGGCACGCTCCCTCCCGGTTCCCAGGGTCAAATCTCAGGCTCCGGAAGGCCCCCGGCCAGGCGGGGCGGCGTCTGCTTCCAGGCGGGCGGCACCAGTCTCCCCACGGCCCGCCTGCACCCTTGCTGTCACTGTGGACATGTTCCCATGTCTGTCACATGGGGAACCTGTTTCCGAGTCGCTGGCCTTGCCACAGGCGTGCGGCTGGGACCTGGGAGCTGCTGTGCGTCTCTTTGGTGATGAGAGTGGAGAGCACAGAGCTCGGGGCCCGTGTGCCCCAGGCTGGCCTTCCGCCCGCTCACTGGAGCGTCCATGTCGTCACTGTTGGCTCGGGGGCA